ATAGTGCCTGGAGTAACAATTTAAAGGGACACTATGGCACCCAGACCACTTCATCTCATTGAAGTGGTCTAGGTGCAGCGTCTCAATCCCCATAGCCATGCAATGTTTATATTGACAGCCACTGGAGGCACTTCCTGCATTTTACAGTGTTTAACTCCTTGAAACAATTCTGGACGTCCTCATGCTTTGCATGATCCCCATGGTCAAAACGTATCAATTTGTTGTTTACACTACCTTGGAGTTATGGAATGTTTCTTCTTACACACCTACTCTTTGAGCGAACTACCACCCATACAACAATATTTTTGTAGATCACTACTTTATTGTTGTGTTGAAAGCATATTTTATCCGAAGATGACAAACATGCACCTTCCAAAACATGGCGCATCTTCATTAAATTTAACATTCTGTATCATAAGGATGAAAAACTGGAACACATTATTAATGCTTAAGATATAGCAGACAAATATGTGAGCCTACTATACGTACTGATTAGAATACCGGTATATAGAACAGTCAGTTTTATAATTATATGAAATATTTTCCACAGTATATAGACTTGATTAATAATGTAAACTCAAGGATGCTAATCAATACGTCTTTTCAGTATTAGAGTAGAATGTTCTGCGTGCTTATATTTGGAGTGCAAATTATTTAATACATTGCATTAGCTATTTGTGTATTCTGCTTCCAGTTGATTTGACTGCTATGTGTAATTAAAATAATTGCACTGTAATACTGTTAATGTTTATTATACTCTTGGAGTGCCAGTCCTCGGAAAGTCTCAGATGCGTTGGCTATGTCATTACTGCCCATCTTGAGCAGTACGTGCTTGGACACACCTCTATCTTCGATGTTTCTTTTACATCTAGACACCATGGATAGTAGTCTAGCATGTACTTGTTAAAGTACTGAACCTTTATCAGATCCTTTATGTAGTGTAAATTCACAAGAGAAATGGTGCTCTCGAACACAAGCCATACAAAAACACATCATAAAGGAAAACGATCACAATTAAATATTAAAAACCTGGAGGTAGAGAGTGCAGAAACATTGTGAAATATGTATTATGTGTGCGACTATCCTCAAGTTATGAAAGGCATTTGAATGAGCCTAAAAAAGCAGAAATACTGACTGTAGCAAGGTTAACTTACGCATGACATAAATAACTCCACTTGTATCAAGAGGTTTTCATTTTCTACATTTAACCTGTACAAGACAACGTTTTGTGTCTTATCTTGGTTTGAGGTCTATATTGTGTCACAATTTTTGGGACACTGAAAGCAAATGTTGGGCGTTCATCCTATGAATTAATTTGCAGTTAAACCACTGATAAAAGGTTTTAGCTATGTAATTTATAAATTTTATATAGCTGCAAGATATTTACATCAAACCACCATATGATGTACTGGGCATCAATAATGAGGGGACAACGAGTAAGTCTGTTTCTCACACAATGATTAGAAACACTAAGAAAGTATTCAGGGCTATTCAATGGAATACTTGTTTCAAAGTCACAACTTCTCATGGATCATTAGAGCTCTTGGATAAAGCAGGAGAATGGTCCTGAGTCACAGAAATAACCATTTGAGAGTAGATTGAGTTTAAAGTATTTAAGAGCAGAATATGAACCTTCAAAGACATGCACATTGTGGGATGGAAAGTTCTTGAGGATCTTCATTCATCTTTCATATTGAGTCCACGTCGGGGGAACAGGGCTCAGGGTTCAAGTAATATCTTTGCCAGTTTGTGCCAGACGTCCCTCTGCTGGAAGATGTATATTTGTGTTTCCCAAAGCATGTTAACCAACACTTCGTCACTAACTTCATCCAACATGACATCTGTCTCTAGCTGTGGGCTGAGCCTAGGTACAGGGATATCAGAGAAGAGGCATCATATCATTTAATATTCAGATATGAACAATATACACTAGTGACGGAAGCTACACTGAGCAGTAAAATATAAATATAATTTGGATAGCTTTAGTTCCTATTTTCATTTCACCGTTGAATATATTGTCTTTTATTTTAATATTAGTCACTTTTTTATGGAAATCACTTACTGATGGCATTATTCTTTCATGCAATACCCTTCTATATGCAAATTAAAGGTTAAAGGACACTAATCATGCACCAAACTAGTAATGCTCCTCAGAAAGGGCATTAAATTCTATCTATACATTGTGTTGGCAGATATTCTAGCAAATGTACAGATTGATACTATCTATTAAAAATAGGTCACTCACACTTAGATGCATTAGTGTATGTGCTGCGATTGCTATGGAAACTCTCTAGACAACACTGCCAGTGCTGGCATGCTGGCAATGAAGGCAGCGAATAAGTGTCATTGAGGAGGTATCCCCTGATTAGGGAAATATTTCGAGAGCAGGGCAAATGAAAGAAGACCATAGGAGGAGAGGACAAGGACCAGAGGCGAGTGTTACAAGAAGAGTAACACCGACAAAATTCAGAAGATGGCAGCGCTGAAAACAGTAGAGAAAGCAAGGTGAGTATATGTTAATATTTTACATTGAATACACCATGTATATTTGTGATATATGGCGTATTGAATTTATTATTTTTTTTAATGCTTTATTTTGAAGTGCAAAATGTTTTCAAACAAGCATGTGCTGGCATATCAGATTTATCAAGCATTGATGTAGTATACGTGGTGTAACATTAGCATGGCACAGAAAGACATTTTTTAATAAGACAAAACAGAAACAGTAAACAGTTTAGTTGGTCACATCTACCTAGTGGAGTAGGCCCAGCGGAGCCGAGAGGTTCTGGTCAAGTGCGAGGAATCTTGGTCTGGGTTTATCTATAGTTTGCATGTGCAGGTATGTAGCCTGTGTGATGGAATTTAGTATCTACTAAGTAACAAGCTAGTTGTGGTGGAGCGAATGCTGGGCAGGCGGGTAGTTGTAGGACACTGTGGTGTCCTTTATCAGCAGGGCGTCAGGCTGGTAGTCTGCTCTCGTGAGGGCATTGATTTTGTTTAGTGTGTCTATGGTCATGTCTGAGTCACGCTGTGTCTAGTGTAAGCAGGGATCGTTGACATTGCGTTCGTGTCAGGTGTGACGGGTTTGTTGGCAATTCTGGTGTTTGGAATGCCCTTCTCTGCCTCTGCATTGAGGGTGAGAACCCCTAACCAAGGAGGATGCGGGGGGGTGTGAGAGATAGGAGCCTGTCGGGGTGTCCTCAAAATAGTCGAGGTCGTGGGGTCTTGTACCCGTATGGTTGCCTAGGTGTGTGTCTGGATGTTGGTCTGAGTTATGCGCCCTAAGAACTGAAACCTCAGTATACGGGAGTGATTAAAAAGGGAAAACACATAAAAAATGAAAACAATAAAAGATAACATCTAATTTGGTGTGGTAAATTATGGGGAAGTAGTCCGACACAGTCAGACCGAGGTTAATCTAAGTGTTCATGGAATCTCCATGATTCTTCGCAGGCCTCGGTGTGGTCTCATCCGACAAGCCAAGGATTTCCAGAAAGATAGTGGCTTCATCCATTGAGGTGAGGACGTGTGTTGTCCCTGAGTGGGTAACTGCCAAGGTGCCTCCTGTTCCCCACCTGTAGGCTACGCCTGCTATGCGTAGCGGTGTGGTGGCCGGGCCGTACGATTTGCACCGTAGTAGAGTGGCCCTTGACAAGTCCTGATAAAAGGTGAGTTCTGGGTCTGGGTGTTTGGCCATTAAGCTCAGCCATGATATGGAGCTTGTCTTGGACTGTAACACAACGTAGAATTACATTTCGGGCTGCAGGGGACTTCAGGCGTGTGTAGTTCAGGAGGTGATAGATTCTATCAATTGCGATTTTCCTTGCAGCTGCGTGGGGGAGTATAGTGGTCAGAAGACACCTCATGAAGTGCGGCAACTCCTCTGCCGAGTTGGAGGTGGGGATTCCCCTAATTTTAGTGTGTGTGTGCCTTTGCCTCTATGATTGCCATTTTGAGTGCCATGAGTTTCTGGTGTTGCTGTATATGTTTTACCTTTTCATCAAGTGATGTTAGGTGAGATTTAATGTCCACCACGTCTTCCTCCATGGCTTTCAATCGGTCAGTGACCGCTTGCACTTCTGTCTTGAGGAGGGCCGAATTGGCTGCTAAGAGCTTGTGGATGTCGGCTAGCAGGAGTTTTAGATCTCCCTTGGTGGCTGGAGTCATCAGAGGATTTAAGCTGTTGTGGCTGTGTTGCCCTTGTGTTCAGAGGGGTCTCTGGTCATCCCTACTCTGGGTTGGGAATGACTCCCGCTTGGGCCAACTTTTGGGCTTGAAAGAATGGCATCTATCGACGCAGCTTGCCGTGCTGGTTCTGGTTGTGTGGTTTGCAAGGCTGGATGGGTGCCAGTTTCGCTGATATCGCCCAGATTATAAAAGTTTGTCGGGAGTTACTAGAAATGGCGTCTGGTGCAGTGTTGTAGCAAGCTCTGCCCCATTATATGCAATTTGAGGCAAGGGAAGTTATTTTGTTATAACAGAATCACATTAAACTACTAACATCCAGTCAGGACGCACTTTGCACTGGAGGAGAAGAAAAATAAACATTCTGTTTTACCTCCTCTCTTTTCTGAATCCTTCTCTCCATAGGAAATAAAATCTGCGAGCGGTGTCTGGCGTACTCCATGTAAGAAGTCAAACTGTTCTAAAATGACTTGACTCCATAAAATGAGAGGCACCAAGACTGCTCTGGCACCATATTCACTACAGCATGCTGCTATGGTGAATGGGGTGTTATATCTTTATACCATCTAAGCAGAAAACTAGGATGCCTAACAGTAACAACCAACTGGGCTTATGATATCTCACCTGAAATAAGGAATATCCATCATGTCACACCATGCTCTGGCCCTGTTCACAGCTGGCCCATCTGAATCCGTGCACTGAGTATTACATAAGA